TAAGTTTAACATAACAGCAAATGTACAACGTTTCGACAAGGTTTTGTTATCATCTTGTACCTGTTGTACATTTGCTGTTATGTTAAACTTATATTAAAGTTTTTCTTCATTACCTATTCAAGCCGTCTCCAACCATTATTAGTCTCAAAGTGGGTTCCTCGTCATCGAATTTGAATTAATCAGGGTATAATAGTTTGTTTTTGCATGACAGACACGTGTCTTTCTTGGTAAATGTATCTGAAGCTGCGAAACTTTGCTATGTAATACATAACAAAATGTAGCAATAGAAACAGAAATGATACGAAGCAAATACAGAAAGTTTATTATGTTATATTAAAACGATTTGGGGGGCCTGACCTCGTCGTTACAATCCACGCTCTACCTGACAACCGTGCTTCTTGCTGATAGTCCTCAAGCGTAGTTACCATTAAAAATTGCTCCACCATAAAGCTTTCATGTCTAAAGTACATTCGTACTCTCTGCAAGCTTTCCAAAAGCTATCTCATGTACGAGGGCGACGGTTTCTCAGCACCCGTTTCAACAGCCTGATAGCACAAAACTCCCTCGTCGCTGTGTCTGGCGACGTGACCGATATGCATACTTGTTCCATTCCACAGCCGTTTGAGGTATGCGACGGTTGAACGGGAAGTATGACTGGAAGCCTTATTTTGGTGAACCCTTACTCTATTGGCGTCATTTCCATTCGGAGATAATTCTTGATTAGGTTGTGAACTGTTTCCTAGGACACGTGGATGATTTATACCACTGCTCTTTGTGTTAGTGGATTCTCACGTGTCACAGGAAGTCGCACTTTGTTTACCATACCTGGAGTACGACCTCTTGCAGGTCTCATTCTGGGTGATTTTGACTTCCCAAGTTGATCCACATTTCTTTGTTTTTCAATGTTATTAAGTACAAGGGATTTTCCCGTCTTGGAAATTCCTGATATGAACATATCTTCATGATCTAAATATGTGAAAAATATGCATCGGAAAGGGCTGTTACACACCCTTCCCAAAAGCGATCAATTTTCGGTGACATCACACTACCTAGGGAACATCAAAAAATGTTAAAATTAGTTCTGATACAATCTGTTCCATCACGACTTTATATATCGGCTGTGGATATCAAGTAAGTTGCTGGTTTACATAATGAAAATCGTTTTGATATAACGTACCCAACCTCTGTATATATATATATATTTAACGGTTTAACCAAACCCATCTCAATTCGTAGGTAAATATGTCTATCATAACATTTTAGCTGTATACATAAGTTTATAATATAACAACATTTCAGAAATACCAGAAAGAGAGTATATGAAATAAACAAATAACAATTAATTGTCTTCACATCAAGTTATCAGAACGCTGACAACAGAAAAGTTGGGTCACTGGTATATTAATTAATCAGCTTATTTTTTATTTTTTAATTTGACAACTGAGCTTTACTTGATATGGAAGAGACTATATGATCCCTCGTTTTACCAATATCGTGTAGGCTGAAAATGGTGCATCGTTTACACTGATTACCAGAATGTTTCAAGAGGTTTGTCTGTTTTGTTGTTAAGCGCAAAGTCACACACTGATCTGCCCATCGGAGGTATCGAAACCCGATTGTTAGCGTTATAAGCCCTCTGTCTCATCAGGAGCAACAAAAATGATACTTAAAGATGACGAACCACTTCATGGCTCCAAGGTTTTTCCTTTCAAATGTATTCAAACGCATAGAGTCAAGAGTACTTCAATTATACTTAACCATTACTAGGAGTGTACTGAACTTGTAAAGCATTCATTTTTATTGAAAAATAATTTCTTTGCCTTGGTGATATTTACGCTAAACAAATAAATTTTTACAATCAGTTCCTTTGTGATAATTTCTCGTGCGTAATGACTGAAGAAGCAAGATTTTCAGCTAGCCATCCTTGAGAAATCTAATGCTAAGTTAGTAGAAACGCAAAACCACCGGAAGTACCGTTGCGTTAGGGTTTTTTCTTCATATCTCGATTAATGTTTTTAAGTACACTACTGACAAAAAAACAACAACAAAAAACAGTCATCAGCACGATGTGTAACTATAAGCAAGATGTTTATGAATAAAATGAAAATAGCACATTAATAATGAACAAAATCTTTGCATTATGATAATTTAAGTACAATCATGGGCGGTTGAAAGATATGCTTAATTAAACACGAAATATGTGTTAAATATTTACATGCAAGAAAAAGGGGACGGAAACAAATTTAAGTAATTTCTGTAATTGCGATTGAAATTAAAATGCATACATCCATGCTTAAGTACTAACATATTACTCCTGGCGCAGCCTGACGCCCAATTTGTGAGAATTAGACAAACAAACCCCATGTCATTAACACCACCACTACAGCTCAGTACTGGATGACATTTAACAGGAACTTGCTGGTTGCAGATTCTGCCCCCCCCCTGTAAATTGTACAATTGTGCTTCATATTCTTATCTTTATGTTGTTGGTACATAATTATTCCAAAAGGAATATCTCAATACATTTATGAACAGCTTTTACTAACAATATTAAATCGTACAGTTTTCCCTCCAATAAAGTTTTGTATATTGTTGGCAGTAATTACGTTTTATTCTGTATTTATAATACTTTTTTCCCACATAGGACTCATGACAAAAGAGGAAAGACAAGCTTATGAAGATATTCCCGGGTCTCATGGAAAATGGTGGGTTCCTGCGCAATGGTTTACATCTCTGGTAGTCAGAGCAAGGAGAGAAGGACGAATCAAAGATGACATTCTCCTGAAAACCCTACTAGATGTATGAATAAATGTTTGTAAAAAAAAAAGTTAGATACAGTCTTCTTATAAGTTAATGGTTCAAAGTATAAAGTCTAAAACAAGATGAAAGGACAAGGTGAATTGACAGCCTATTCTTCATTCTAATTGGTTCTTCAGACAAGTTATGTTTGACTTTACTGTTAATTAGAAGGAGCTAGGCATGTGAACTGTTCAACATTTTGACATTTTTAGAGTCTTGATATTTACAAATAAAAAACAACAGCTGGATCATTTAATACATGGCTGAATAAACTGATTTTTTTCTAATTATATTAGATGATAAACTTTGGACATCATTAGGAAAAAGGTGCCTGTTCAATGTACGAGTCTAAATTTCACAATTTTCAATCCCTAAACTTCAATTTAGTTTGAAAGCTTTTGTGTCTGCGTATTTGATTAAGACTTATGAATTATAAACTCATTTCTTAGTTGGTTATAACGCACAGCAAGTTTGAAACATCATTACTAGAAAATACATCATATTTATTATATATTAGGAACTTATGATATTTTACTTGTAGGAGGCGCTCCAAATTATAAGCCCCCCCCCCCTCCCCCGGTGGCACAGCGGCATGTCTGCGTACTTACAACGCAAGAAACCAGGTTTCGATAACAGTCGTGGGCAGAGCACAGATAGCCCATTGTGTAGCTTTGTGCATAAATTCAAACAAACCAAATTATAAAAGGCAATTTATGCGACACATGAATTAAATGACCAGATCAGTGACTCCCCAAAGTCCATGCATAGCTATCCCTAATTTAGAACTGCCTGCTAGAGAGAGAATGAAACCAGTCAGCAGAACCTATCGCTTACAGTGCTGTTGCTAACTGCATATCAAGATTCACTGTTATATTTGTAACGTCACTTCAGTTGAGAGTGCATAGCGTATTCAGCGGCTCAAACTTTGGACTTTACGGTCCGCAATCCGGCACACAAGCCACTAACACACGACCAGCTCTCCGCGTTCTTTTTAGTTAAAATAATGTTCAAATATTATTTATCAAAACTAACTATATGATTTCCTCTATCTTTGAATGTGAATAACATGAGTTGAATTTGTTTTTTTAATGATTAGTATTTGTTCGTTTCCAGGAGCTACACGTTTACCGTGGAAACTGTGGTATGCTTTACAGCTACGACTGGATAAGTGTTCCTTTAGTGTACACTCAGGTAAGTTGTGGTAAAATCAGTAACACTTTTAAAATTAATCTTCTTTATTTCTCTTCCTTCTTTCTTAGATCATGGTTGTCGATAAAAATTTTGAGATGACGAACCAATTTATTTCAACGGTACACATCTTCACAACAGAAAGTATATGACGAATTGTGTGTATAAAATGTAATAGAATATTTTTTTCCAGTTAGCACGATTTTGCACAACTTGTGATAAACAAGCTATTCAATAACATATTGGTTTATAGTTTTATTGTACAAAATAAATCACTTGCCACGTATTCCTATCTTATACTTTGAATCAACTTAATGTTAAATATGCTGTTTATAGGCATTCTGATCTTAATTCAAAATTTATAATAAACCCAAACAGCTCAATCGAAGGTAAAAATCATAAAAGATAAAGCACAAGGAAACGTGAATCTTAAGTTGTGTTTTAAAAAGCTACTTCCTTAGAAATGGCCCAGCATGGCCAGCTGGTTAGGACGCTCGTCTCGCAATCTGTGGGTCGCAGGTTCGAATCCCTGTCACACCAAACATGCTCGCCCTATCAGCCGTGAGGGCGTTATAATGAGATGGTCAATCTCACTATTAGTTGGTAAAAGAGTAGCCCAAGAGTTGGCGGTGGGTGGTAATGACTAGCTGCCTTCCCTTTAGTCTTACACTGCTAAATTAGGGACGGCTAGCGCAGATAGCCCTTGTGTAGCTTTGCGCGAAATTCATAACAAACAAACGAACTAACCAAATACACACGCACGCATACACATACATACATACACACACACAAGTTTTGTTTTAAGTATAATTATGAACCTAGTTATGACGACAGAACACCAACTTCATCAAAGGCTGCAGCTGCTTGTAAGATCCACCGTAAACTGAAATCAACGACGATGACGACTCAGAGTATTTTGTGATTGAATCCCGAATTCTCATAGAATCCCACACTGCGTGAACAATATCGTAGGGGCACAATGTCTGACGGTTGTTAGTAGAAACGCATTGCACGTGTTTGTACTTTTTGTTGGAATATTATGAGTATTATTAAGAGAACAATATTGTTGTAAAGGAACAGTAGTATGAAAGTGACGTTATAGGGACATAAGTAAAAAAAAAAAACGAAAAAAATTAAAACAATAAATAGATAATACACACACAGGTTTATCTTAGCAGTAATAAGTCTGAAGGCTAATAATGCTAAAATCTGGTTTCAATACTCACGGCGGGCACATCACGGATAGCCCATTTTGTAGATTTGTACCTATTAACAAAGAAACCAACAAATATAACTAGAATTATACATTCATACATAGATATATGCTTGATGTAGACAGTTGTGTGAGCTATAAATCTAACGATATAAACGTCAATGTTACCATGATTAACTGGCATGGCCAAGTGGTTAGGACGCTCGACTTGCAATCTGTGGGTTCGAATCTCTATCTTACTAAACACGCTCGCCCTTTCAATCATGAGGACGTTATAATGTAACGGTCAATAATTCGTTGGTAAAAGAGTATACCAAGAGATGGCTGTCTTCCCTCTAGTCTTTCATTGCTAAATTGGGGACGACTAGCGCAGAGAGCCCTCGTGAAATTGTTTGTTATGGATTTTACACAAAGCTACACAAGGACTATCTA